TTGTCATCCCAGGAGATCTCCAGTTGCCGTCTGCAGGCTGTGCAGACAAATAACCAGAATAATCTGTCCCGCTGCACAAATCACACTTGAGACTTCGGTCTCCTTATACAGTTCTACTTACAGTTATAAACAATAGACATAACAAATGGCTTTGCTACTGTGCATGAATGACATCTCCACCAGCTGGACAGTGACCTGATAGTTCTTGAAAGTACAAGTCTCTCTTCAGAATGATGCAGTCACCGACTCATAATGCAGAGAAGAGTTTCCAGAAGAAAGCATGCAATAGATGGCATGGCCTCAAGAACCACAGTAATGCGAACCGAAGGAGCGGTGACGGTATGCCTAGGTTGCTTTGCCGTTTCTTAGGGCCCTCCCAGATCTGGCAATAGCGGTGACGGTATGCCTAGGTTGCTTTGCTGTTTCTTAGGCCTTCATCGGGCCGCTTTTCTTAGCGATGGAGCCCACCCAGCTCTGGTAAGATTCAAAATGACATGAAGTCTACAAGTATATTCCAAATGATCCCTAGCTATTTGGAATTCTGATTCCTAAGCATCTCTGAGCCCTAAGAAACGGCAAAGCAACCTAGGCGTGCCGTTGCTGCTCCTTCGCTTTGTGCTATAGCTGTTCTTGAGCCCATGCCGTCCACTGTGTGTTTTCTGTTTGAAACTCTTCTCTGCACCACGAGCCGGTGACAGCATCATTCTGGAGACAGACTTGTACTTTCAAGGACTATCAGGTCACTATTCAACAGGTGGAGATGTCATTTCTGCACGGCGGCAAAACCATTTGTTATGTGTATTGTTTATAACTGTAAGTAGAACTGTATAAGAAGATGGAAGTCTCGAGTGTGATTTGTACAGCGGGACGGATGATTCTGGTTATTTGTTTGCACAACTGCTGTTGGCCATCTGCAGGCGGGCAGCCCTACGGCATGTCCCATATCTGACTTGTTCCCGGGGAAAGAACTTGGAAGCCAGCCGGAACTCCGTTCCTGTGCGTTCCTGCCCCAAAATAGCCCTGGCTATAGCTGTTCTTGAGCCCATGCCGTCCACTGTGTGTTTTCTGTTTGAAACTCTTCTCTGCACCATGAGCTGGTGACTGCATCATTCTGGAGACAGACTTGTACTTCCAAGGACTATCAGGTCACTATTCAACGAGTGGAGATGTCATTTATGCACGGCGGCAAAACCGTTTGTCATGTGTATTGTTTATAATTGTAAGTAGAACTGTATAAGAAGATGGAAGTCTCGAGTGTGATTTGTACGGCGGGGCGAGAGCTCGAGTGTGATTTGTACGGCGGGACAGATGATTCTGGTTATTTGTTTGCACAACTGCTGTTGGCCATCTGCAGGCGGGCAGCCCTATGGCATGTCCCATATCTGACTTGTTCCCGGGGAAAGTGAATTTGGCAGACGGCACGCTATTCAAATGGTTGAGTGCAAACTATAAGACAAGAAACTGACTGCATTCCATTATTGTTTGGGATTTTGGCAGCGTAAAAGACGTCACTAAGAACGCTGCATCTTTGCATGCAGATTGCAGCACAAGGCCCAAGGTCCTGAAACCAAAACCAGCTCCTAGCATTCTTAAAACGCGCCTGTGGAAGTGGTAGAGTTAGACTTTGGACTGCATGGTCTTATGCTTCCCCCACCCCCCAATGGACCCCGGATCTAGAATTAGGTCCTTGATTCTGCCAAGCTCTAAAAAGCTGCATCTTCCTTCTGAGAGAGGCTGGCGCAGGGGAGGCCCCATGCTGTCAAGTGTGCGCTCCTCTGCATAGTTCTGACTTCAGCTCTGCGCAGCCACCTTCTCTCCTACTGAGGTCTTGGCGGGAGGACTCTGGAGGTCAAGGAGGTAGACAGATCCCCTCAGAGGGGTCATGGCCTGCTGGTTCCACGGCAACTTGGACAGGAGCCTGCTGCTGGAGGGCAGGCAGGGGGTCTTCCTCTGGCCCTTATGGAGCGCGCAAGGCCTTGGGTATTATGGGAACCACTGGGAGACTGAGAAGCCTTCTTCCCAGGTGCAGGCTGGGCTAGAGCAAGCCTTGACAGGGAACCACTTATGTTCTCAAATAAGCACTACCCTTTGCCATTATTTTGTAGTGAGAAACTAGATTATCTGGAGAGTTGCATGGGTGACTAGCCCTGATTGAGTGATTTTGTTTTGCTCTCTGTTAGGAGTACCAGGTGGGATGCCACTTCCTCCTCCTTATCCTGGACAACCTGGGCCATATCCTGGTCCAGGCATGCAGCCATACCCGGCTCCAGGGTACCCTCCCCAGCCTCCTCCAACCTTTGGGACCCATCCACCTGGACCACATCACCATGGACATCACCATGGGCATCACCATGGACATCACCCACCCCCTGGCCCACCTGGAATGTTTCCTGGAGGGCCTGGATGCCAGCCAGGAGCACCACCACCACCTGGTTGCCCTCCCCCAGGACACCACCATGGGCACCACAAGAAGCACAAGCATCATGGTCATCATAAGCATCATGGCAAGAAGGTAAGGGATTTGGGTGCTTCTTGGAGGTGCAGAAGGGGGGGCTGCTAGATCAGGCACTGATAGACGAAGGGGGTTTCATTCAGTAGGGCCATTAAGCCCTTCTCTCTGCGTCCTGCCTCATATGTTCACAATGGGTGAGAACAGCCACCCAAAATGACAAAAATGAAGGCAAAGATGGAGTTGAAAAAATAAGGCTTTCCCGGATTCTTATTTACCAAGCTTGTAAGTTCCTGGTTTTTCTGGCGGTTGGGAAACTGTTGCACACACATTGTACTCCCTCTAGTGGTCGATCTGATATTACATCAATTTATTTCCAATATATCTCCCTGCAGATTTTAGCTCCTTTCCACATTGGCCTGCCACTCCGGATTTTCTCAGTGTTCAAGTCGAGGCAATATAAGTCCACGGCAAAACAGCATACAAATAACCCGGGCAACAGCAGGCTGAAACCAGGCTGACCACTGAAGGGAGGTAATGTAATGCAGAATGGGAGAAAAACCCGGAATAAAAAGAAGCTTGAGCTCAATTTTAGTGTAGAATGGGGGAGAAAATACCGCGGTGAACATGGATTAAAAGGAAAGCACAGAAAGGGCCTTAAACCGCAGGTTTTTATGCTGGAAATAAACCACTGTAATATTGAATTGACTACTAGAGGGAGCAAAAGCGCATGCAGAACAGGATCTCCCCACAAAGAAACGGGAACTTACAAGCAAGGAAAACGAGACTGGTAAAGCCCACAAACTCGGGTCACAAAAGAGACAAAAGAGTGGGAAGTATAACAGAAATGATCCGGTGGGAACAGAACTATCGGCAGCCTGAATGTACTTCTCTTTATTTCTCTTCCAGCACTCAAGCAGTTCCAGTAGTAGCAGTTCCGACTCAGACTGAAGGCAGCTTTTGCAACACCTCAGCCAACTAACGTGAAAGGCTACCGGTTAGGACTCCCTGGAAATTCCCCCATCTCTTTCCTTATGTTGTATGTTTGTTCACATGGACCGTGAATGGCACAACATTCACTTTCACTGTTGTCTCAACCCTAGTAAAAAATCATAGATATGCCAAGTTTGCCGCCCATTTTCATGCGAGCATTCATCTTCTTATTCACGCTGATTTAGAAGTTTAGCTTGACCAAAGAGGACAGCATAGCACCTTGGTTATGTGTGTTAGAAACTCTGCAACTCCAGAGCAATAAACTGATCTGCACAAACAGGCCATGTGTCCCATGAAAGTTTGTTATTACATGCTTCACAGATTCTACTGGCACCTTGCTGAATCAAGGGAATGACTTTTTAATTTAACGTTCTTCATTGATCCCTCACCTTTCACCCCAGTGGGAACCCAAAGTGGCTTACCTCATTCTCCTCTCTGCTACTTGGTCCTCACAACAACCCTGTGAGGTGAGTCAGGCTGAGAACATGTGACTGCCCTGACGGTTAAGCTGTAAGCTTTCATGGCAGAGGATGGTTTTGAACCAGGGTCTCCCAGATCCCAGCCCTGCAGTCTAACCCAGCAGTCCCCAACATGGTGCCTGTGTGTGCCATGGTGCCCACCAACATCAGTTTGGTGTAGTGGTTAAGAGTGGCAGACTCTAATCTGGAGAACCGGGTTTGATTCCCCACTCCTCCACATGCAGCCAGCTAGGTGACCTTGGGCTGGTCAAAGTTCCCTCAGAGCTGTTCTTAATAGAGAGATTTGGAATTTTTAATTCCTGGTGACAGCAGTAATCTACTACATTTATGTGAATAGAGTGTGTTTTAAAGGAAAAACAGTCTCCCCAATAAGGAGGATGTCACACAGGGTCTCCCATATCCCAGCCCTGCAGTCTAACCCAGCAGTCCCCAACACTGCGCCTGTGTGTGCTACGCTGCCAGCCAACACCTTTCCTGGTACCACCAAGTGTTTTTAGCAAGTGGGCTGGGCCAATCAGGGCTTTTGCCCCGCAACACTTCTGATTGGCTAGTGGAGATTAAATTGGTTGTGCAGATTTCTTAAAATGTTGCTTTGGCTGCCACTGCCACCGTAGCACAAGTATCTTCACTTTGTGACTGAGGGTAAAGGGCAGCAGCCATTATGAGGTGGTCCGCTTCCAAAGGTGCCCACAGGCTCAAATCCACTGCTTTAACCACTATGCCACACTGGCTCTCATCCTGCTATATATGCTGAAACGGTAAACTCCGCTGGCTCAATATTTTAACTTAACATACAACTTTCCTTCCTTTAAAATATGTTCTAATGCAAAAAAAGATACACTTCACCATTTTTAAGGTAGTGTGAAAAAAAAGAGAGTTTATTGAACAAGAGTGCAATTTTGGCTCAAGTCAGGATGTTGTTCCAGAAACAGCAATCCCAAGACTACACGGCAGTTTGCAGTTTCTGCGCACGCCAGCAGACATGGTCTTGTGCCTTGCCTGACCTGAATGCTCCACACCATGTTTCAGAGGAGAAGAGACTGGCGATTAACAGGAGGGAACGAGTCTGGGGACGGATTGAAGGGGGAGACCTATTTTCCACAGGTAGCTTGCCTACGATAAAAGGGCATGGTGGCCAAAAGCTCAGATCAGAAAATCTGCCTGTGGCCCAGTTCAGATCCAGACTGAGAGTATTGTGATTGGGGAAGAGAAAACTAGAGCCTGAAGCGAAATAGCTAAGGAACGCCTGGCTTTGTTGCAAAAAGGTAAACCACAAAATGTGGTGGCGATGGAGCCACAGGGGAAGCCAGAAGGCAATACCACCTGATCCGTGTGCTGCCATCTGCATTGGAAGCAACACAGCATCGGCATACGAGGCGAACCACATTTCCTCAGCATAGGGAATGATTCCCTGCTGTCTCTTGCTATGAGGAAATGGCTGCAGCCCAACCAGTGAAAAAAGAACAAGTTGCAAGGGAGAAGAGTTGAGGAGCCAGAGAAGTTCTTGCTTGAGATCTCCTGACAAAGCTTATCGCAAAACGTGTTGGGATCTAAGAGGCCGAATAAACTGCTCTCCCGTGCACACCTTGTTCTTCTTTGAGCCGCAGCCACTGAACAACAGTGAGAAAGGAAGGAGGGCAAGGTGTCCGCGAGTGGCACAAGCTGGAGTCCGGCACCCACAGCTGGTCACAAGACTTCCTGTTGCTATGTCCACTTTGGACTCCTAAGGAAGATAGGAACCATTAGCACCTGGATCAGAGCAAAAAATTAAATTATCCCTGCCTGCCAATAAAGGAGTAGAGCTTCAGAAATAGAGGGGAGGGAGAGGAATCTACTGGCAGCTAGAAAGGATTCCTCTGTGATGACGTCCATTCTAGCTGTTTAACCTGGCAGGGGCACAATCCATACGCTCCGTTTTTGTGGAGAATTCAGATGACATCATTGCTAACCCCTTGTGTTGCAGTGATTTCTGCACTGTTTTTGTGTGACTATATTTCAGACCTGATTGTTTTTTTTTAAACTTAAAGCACAAATACAGGTACTACTGACAGGCAAAGTGCTATGAAGGCATCCAAAGGTTACTGTCCCTTTAAAATTTGCTTCTTCACTCTTTGTTTGATATATCATTGCCTACTACTCTGCTTCCTGTTCACCCGAGTAGCTAAGCATTCCGAAATTGATCTTTAATTAGTTTTTAGCCCCTATTTCTCTTTGAAGCCAAAGCAGCCGTTTATTTCTTTTTAAACATGCATGACTGCACGATGTTCATGAAAAGGAATTTTAAAAAAATAAAATTAAAATGAACATTTGCTTTGGCTGCAAAGAGCAAAGCAGTAATTTAAGGAACATTAAAGTTTAGTTTAGGAATGCCACAGCTAATTCCAGTGAATGGGAAATAACTAATGAAGCTGAGTAGTGGAGACAACTGTGCAAGAACCAAGAGAGATGAAACAGAACACAAAGAGAGAGTTGCAGGGAGACACTGGGCAACTGCTGAATAAAACTTACTCCTGAGTAAACATATAGTAGGGTCTTTCCCATGGAGATGGGCATGACTGGATTTTTATATAGAACAGGATGTGCTATTGTGCTATGTGGAGCCAATTTAATTCCACTTTTACAGATACTGAGCATGCTCCTAGAGTGGAAGCAACCATGGCGTCGAATACAAAATCCTTTGCTGTTTCTTTGTTTAGTACTTAGAGGATTACGGTACAAAAACTGTTTAAACAGACTAAAGCTTTATACACATGACAAAATCACCCCGGGTGGGTTCTGGATCCTTTCTCTGTCTTGGTTTTAATTAGCACCATAAGCATGACTTTTCATCACGATGAAATTTTAAAAATACGCCTACAGGTTTTTGGCTATAAAAATAAACCCCTTGCAGATTTCTGAGCAGCTGCCCTTGGACAGCTTGTGCCGTACAACAATTTAAGAACATTAATATCTGTGGTGCATGATGGGAGACGGCATTTCCCTGAAGCTAACAGATCCACCTAATGAATCTGTCAAAGAAACCAGGCTGGGAGAGGCTGGCATAGTCCTTCTCCCGGAAGATGGCCGCCCGGTCCCCTAGACCGATCTTCAGCAGAACATCCATGTCCACATCACTGCCTAAGGCCACCACGGTGGGTACGACATTCTGCTTCTTCATGGAGTCGATGGCCTCGTCCAGATTTTTGTTGCCCGTGATGCCGTCTGTGATGAAGACAAAGGACAGCTCGGCATTGCGCCGGGCTCCTCGAGCCCTGTCTCTCGGGTTGATGACAAGGTTGTTGACAGCATAAATGATGGCGGACCCCAAGTTGGAAGAAGAGTCCAAGTATTTGATTTGGGCTATAGAATCAGAGATGTCCGTGAGATTGTACGTCAACGGGAACACTATCGCGTGTTCATTCTCGCTTCCATACTGTAGGAGGGCCATGCGGGCATTCATGTTCTCGTTGTCACTTCTGGCCAGCGTGAGGCGGCGGGCCACATTTTCTACAAAGTCATGGGCCCTCTGGAAATTCAGCTCGCCAATTCTTTCAGAGCCGTCCAGGAGGAAGACAACGTCGACGGGCCGTTGTGTGCACTGAGCAACAGCGAGCTCGGCTGGAAGAAAAGAAACAGACAGTAAGCATTCCCAGGATAGAACCTGCCTGGCTTAGAGCTTTCTGACAGTCTAAGAGAGAGACTGACTCGGCAGGTGTTTAACTGACAGACACCTTTTCCAATCAGTAGTGTTAAACAGAATTCGCCACCAGAGCAGACAGTGCCAGTAGGTTAGCCATCTAGTCCAATTGTTGATTCGTTGGCTTGTAAGGGCTTTGAAACAACACAAGTCCTTGCTGTTCTTTGCTTCTTGTTTTGTTATCACAGCTGCCCTGCCTGCCAGGCACAGGGGCAAATATTTTATTTATACACCCTCACATACAAACAGTGCTGAGGTAGATTGAGGGAGAGAAAAACATTTTATTTGCATTGCCATTGCTGCGGGCAGTGCGGCAGACTTGCTGCACCCCCCAGACACAACCTGCATGCGCCGTCTTCTTTCAATGACCCTGCGGTCAATAACAGAACAAGCTCATACCTCTTTAAAAGTGGGTGCCTGCCTAAAGACGTTTTATTACTGATACAGTATTTGTGTCCATTCTTCCATGATACCTGTTTTCTTGGGTTGCCCAATGCCTCCCTCTGTAAAATGCCTCCTGCACGTAAAATAACTTACATGATGCATTTAATGAACTCGACCAGAGCTTTTTAAAAAGAACCCTGACCCAAAAGAAAACAAACAATATATTTTGCACACGCTCCTCTTGACTTTGATCTTTCCCTTGGTGCCAGACCAATGGACAGTTCAAAGCTTTCTAGTGACTTGCATTCACACAATTGATTTTTTTTTGTGTTCTTGTGGTTTGTTGAGAAATGGACTAATTTATGGTTTTATATCTGCTACACACGCAATACACGGACTGTGCACACACCTGTATACCATAGGCCAAAGGAAGCTGTTTGCATCACCAACTGTGAGAGAGAATTCACATAGGGAACACCTGCCTGCATTTCATGTTAATGTAGCTTGCACACATTCAGCTCAAAGCCTTATGGGAAGGAGAAGCACATGTTAGCCATTGTGAGCAGAAACAACAACCAAGAAGGAGAAATTCCCCCATTACTGAAAAGATGAGATGTCACGCAGAACACGGACCTGATCTGCATTTGAATTGCCATTTCCTGTTGATGGTACCTTGTTCGCCTGGTAAAGCCAAGATTCATCTGTACTTCAAAGAGGGCACAGGAAGCCGAGACTTCACACCTGGCCAGATGGTGTTCCATGAGATAGAGTGTAGAATTTCAAATATTGGCCCAACCCATAGAATACCTGCCCCTTTTCTACATGCACCAATGAGGGAAGTGATGGGATGGACTTGGAAGTAGGTGGGATTACAGTTTGGCAAGGTGCCACCCACCTGCAGATTCAACTATAAAAGTAAAGGCCAAACCCTAGGTCTTTGCTAGCCACCTCCCTTCTCCACGACCTCTATCTTCTTTACTACCCCTAAGGTCCAGCTTTCTATCCAACAATCCCTTTGTCTACTTTAAGATCTCTTCGACTGCAGCCAAAGAGGTCCATACTTTGCTGGCTGGTTCTAGCAAGTGTGATTTAGTTAAAATCCCTAGGTATTACTTTCTCCCCTATTCTTACATTGCAACAGACAAGACTTCTGGAACAGGCGAGTATAAACCAATTGTCCTACCTAACTCCAAGTAAATAAGAAACTATTTTTGATATCTTTCTGTAATTCTAAAGGAATCTTGAGTGTATGCTGATGTGAGACTGATTATTTTGTGCATATGTGACTTTGATACTGCTCAGTAAAAGACAATTTGGTTTGGAAAAAGACCCATCTCGTCTCCATCACTGGAACTCTGTGTTCAGACACGACCTCCGTAAACGTTGGCCAAAGCTCACGTTAAATTGAGTTAGCCATCTGCTGTAAATAAAGCAGTTGGCGTAACAAGTTGGATATTTGCCAAAATTAAATGTCAGACTGGCAGAGATATTTGTTATGTTATGTTATGAGCTGAAAAGGATTAAGGTGTAACAGCAGTCAAACACAGAAGAGAATCAGACTGTTAGAAAGAGTCAATGGCAAAACATTTTGAAATCTCTCGCACGGACTCTAGAGACATTAATGACCCAACACACAGCTTTCTAGGTAAGCCAAAGCTGTGTGCATTCACTCCTCCCATAGCTTTCCTCCTTTCCAGAACTACTGGTTGTGGGATAAACAAGAAAATGCAGGAATCAGAGATAATGAAAGACGATTAGCTTTCTGGCTACAAATTATTCAACAAGTTCCAGTCTTTCCTTGATAAAGAAAAGTCTGAACAACAGCCTGAAACTGACACAAATCTGGAGGGGGGCCTGTGTGAATGAGGGCAGTGGGGAGAAACTGTCCCTTTTGCTTCTGTTGCTCCTTTGTGAAACCATATTTGGAGAGAGGGGTCCATTATGCACTGATAGCTTACTTCACTTACTCCAGAGAATCCGAGCAGTGAAGCCTTTAAGCTTGACTTTGGATTTGCCTGCTATAGGGACCATTCTTTTTTTCATCCGGTGTATTTCTATGTATTTGTCTTGCAGCTGCAGCAAAAACCTGCATTTTTTTCTTAATCGGGGTGCGAAGTTACCGGTGCTAGACCCCCGCTTTTGCACTTTAGACCCATGGTTCCTCAACTTCCTTGCCTCTGAGGACCCTCCCCCAGCTTCGCATAATCTTGCTGAGCTTGTACCTCATCTTGGGTTCTCGACTTTCTGCCCCCCTCTGGCGCTAGACCCTCCCCCCTTTACACTTTAGACCCATGGACCCTTGACTTCCTTGCCTCTGGGAAACCACCCCCCCAGCTTAACATCACCAGCTGTCCTTGCTGAGTCTGCCCCTCATCTTGGTTTCCCAACTTTCCGCCCCTTCTGGTGCTACTGTGGTCAAAGATTAGCAAAAAAACTCATATCGCTAGACTGAACCCACTTGCTAACCCCTCCCCCAATTTAAAAAGATGGAAAACCTAAGCAATAGTGCAGCTTATCTACTGATGAAGAGGGGAGAAACAATAATGCTCTGCGACCTGAGAGTAAATACAAATGGAAGAATCTCTCCTATTTCAAGAAATACGCTCAGCGTGAAACTGACCAATAAGGAGTGGGAGGAAGGAACTCAACGTTGGTGGAGGCGTTGCTGGAAAAGGGTATGTGGGGGGGGGGATCTGAGGGAATCTTAATACATTTGAATCCCCTTTGACTTGGAAGCAAAGCAAGGGTAACAACCACGACAAAAGCACTCTCAGAAAACCCGAGAAAACAGCAAACAGGAAGCAAACTGAGCTCTGAAGGGAAGAAAAACAGTGCCGAACGGGGGTGGGGTGGGGACCCCAACAGACTTGCTTGGTGAAACCGATGGGAATGCAGAAGGACAAAGCATACCCAATGGACATGTAAGGTGAAAGCGAGGGGGAAAACCAGTGCATAACAGGCTGGGAAGAGGGTAGTTTTAGCACAGTCTTTTCTTTCCTTCCTCCTGCTGGCTGAAGAGCAATAAATATTCCTGCCCAAAGTTAAAAAGGAGAACAGAGCGCACTTTTTCTTAGCAAACGGACAGGCTGGCAGCCTGGCACTCAAGTGCTATTGATGTTTTTAAGTGAAGGAGACCACAAAACCCAGAAAACGGTGCCACTCAAGCCCAGTGGGGGACTTATCATCAGTGCTCCCTCTAAGCTGTGGAGTCTTGTGCGCAAAAATTCTACTTTGTGAGCCTCTGGCCTTAAAGTTGTGAGCAGGCGATTTGGCTCCTGCATCAATTAGTTTGCTCTGGAGCCGTCCCTCCTGAGCTGAGACAAAAATGTGTGAGCCGGAGGCTAAAAAACTGTGAGCCGGCTCACACTAACTCAGCTTAGAGGGAACACTGCTTATAATGTCTGTTAAAAGCCCCCTTCGACACAAAGGGCAAGGCTGTCGATGAAGCTCAGAGGAGGGAAAAGCCTGCTCTCCTCCCAGCCAAGACGTTTGGTCAGCAGCGAGGATGGAAAGTTTGCCTGTGGGCTCCTGGCACAGCACCACTGCCTGCATACAGAAGCCTAATTTCATTTCCCCCCTTAGACTATAAAAATAAGTATTCTGACATTTATAGAGCTCCGCGAGGAGGAGCAACGGTTCTGGAACAGAGTGAGGGTGTCGCGAGTGAATTTGCACGCTGCTTCGGAGCTTAGTCACGTGCACAGCGAGGAGTGGCCGAGCACAGCCATGCTCCGAATGCTCCCATGCTCTCTGGGCAGTGTGCCGGCCATCCACATGCAGATAGCTAATGATGAGAAGCTTGGGAGGTCTTGGGAGTCGGGCTCCAGCACTTGGCCTCCTGCAGGACTTGAAGACTCTTCCTCAAGGCCATTACGTCAAGATACAAGAAGAGGAGACTCCAGACAACATAGCAAAATGTTATAAAAATGTATCAGGAAATTGTTGGAGGTGTAAAAAGGAATATTGGTTCATATTATCACACATGGTGGAGGTGTGAGAAGCTGTTAAAATTTTGGAAATCCATAAAACAACTAATTGTAGAGATAGTGGGAATAGATCTCGCGCTGGACCCAGAAATATTTTTGTTGAATATGTTACCAAAAGGGATAAAGTACAATGACTCATGTTTGATACTATATATGCTTACTGTGGCTAGAATTCTTATAGCCAAATGTTGGAAATCAGACAAAATACCAAGTAGAGAAGAATTAACAACAAAAGTTATGGAAATAAAAGAAATGGACAAAGTAAATATGATTTTGTCGGGAAAATATGAAAATGTGTTTTAAAAAAGATGGCAGAAAGTAGATAATTGGTTGGAAAAAATGGATAAAGAAACTCTAAATATGATTTAACGAATATTTTTTTTGTGTGTTATTGTATGGTATGGAAAAAGCTAAATAAACTATTTAAAAAAAGATACAAGAAGAGGAGATGGGATTTATATCCTGCCTTTCACTACCTGAAGGAGTTTCAGAGCCACTTACGATCTCCTTTCCCTTTCCCTCCCCACAACAGACACCCTGTGAGGTGGCTG